AGAGCAGCCAGGGCTGCACATGCTCGGAGAACAATGCGGAGACACTTCTCTGCAGGCAAAGCTAAATGGAGTCCGATTGTCAAACTGGAGTGAGTGACAAGCCTTGGGAGGCTGCAGGGACAGCACTTGACAGAATGACAATCGGTGCCGCTTTATGCTTAGTAGTTACAACATGGAAAACCTTCCGTGAGGGGCTGAGGAGCAGACCTGTGCCTCCGCCAGTGCCAGCACAAGGTACCAAAGAGGGGTAAGACAAAAGATGACTTTCAAGTGCAGAATTCAATTATGCTCCAGCCATGTGAATCACTATTCCACCGGCTGGATTATTTTCTTTTGTCGCTGGGACCAGCCCAAAGATTTGGAGAGTATCTGCAACCTGGGAATAGAAAAGAAACTTTTTACTGTTTCAAGAGTGGCAAGCAGTTGTTACTGAGCCAAAGCTTTATTGTTTCCAGTAGTAAAACACTACATAAAAGTTGTAAGGGATGGAGACGAGACCAACAAAATAATAAAATAAACAGAAACAACCAGAGCAGACTGAGCACTATTCACTGAGCCCTTCTTGCCCACCTTAAGCCAACAAAAAAGGCAGTCAACTGGTACAAGTTTCACATAACATTCCAACCAAAACTACAAAACACAACTGAGAGAGATGCAACAAAGAGAAAAGCAGTCTTTAATAGAAAATACGTGCACAGAGCTGTAGATGTTCCTCTATCACATTCATGTGTGGGAGATCACATTCTCCTGGGCTAGATCCTTCCCTTAACCCGAGGAGTCTTTCCATAGATGACCGAATGCTTCTGGTTCGAACTCAAGTGGAATTATTCCATCGAGGTAAAATACAGAGGTAAGAAAGGTTTCCAGTCTCACTGGTACAAGAGCAGTCCCAAATGTATCTCTGAGAGTGTTTTATAAAACCTAGTCTCAGTTAAAAATCAAACTTACCACAGTGTGCTAAACGGCCCTAAGAAGCGAGGATGGGGGTGAAAACACGACTGACCTGCCTGCACTGCCCAGGAATGAAGCACAAGAAACACAGTAAGAGTTAGAAATGACATGCTCAATTTTAAAAACTCTTTCCAACTCAGTGTAGAGTTTTTGATGAGAAAGTAACAGGTTTAAATAAAACACAGTCAATTTTTAAGTGTCTTTTTCCTTCTCCTTCTTCTAAAGAATTAACTCAGGCTGGCAGGCCAGGCTGTCTGAGGCACTGCGGTAACAAGAGTGTGAGCAAGGCAGCCTCAGTAGGACTGTCAAAAGCTCCACGGCAAGACAGGACTTTTTTGGTGGCAAAACACTTCTGAAATTGAAGACCCTACAGCTCTCTGAAGAAACAGCATGACTTCAGCTCCGAAATCATACCGACATTTCAGCAAAAGCTGACTTTTGGATTTACTTTTTCAGAAACAGCTAATAATTTTGGCATTACCCCTTTCAGAGATGCAGCTGGTCGAGTCTCAATGGCGAGGTTTAAACAACACAGACCATGACATAAAGCATCCCTCAGTGGAGAACAGCCTCATCCCTTGCTCTCCTTAACACTGATGTTGTGAAGCCCACGTTCAGTGGTTTCTCTTTATGCCATCTCAAAGCCCACGTCATCCAAAGGTTTTGTTTTCATTTTTAAAAGGGCAGAAACAGATCACGGAGGAAGAGCTGGAAGGATTTTCCCAGCAACCTGCCATAGCATGTCAGCTGGAACAGCAGTAAGGGAACAGTCCTCTGTTGGACCATGTTCATTTAGAAAGTCAAGGATTGATTTCCGATCTCCTGCTAGAGTGTTCCAGCACCCAATCTCATTTATCTTCATACTGCAGCCATTTGTAAGAGCATATACTACATGTGCACAAACCGTCCAGCAGCAAAGGAGAACAGCACAAAAGAGTAATAACCAAGGGAAAAGGCTGACATTAACAGGCACAAACTGCCTTTAAATCCATGATTTCAGAGGGAATTTTTTGAAATACTTCGTTTCTTCAGCAAAAGACGGGTCAGATCCAAAGCATTTAATAAAAATCCACAGACTCTTACTTGCCTAGTGTGGGTTTTGTTCAGGCCTTCAAAGATCTAATTGCTCTAGAGATGGCAGGTAATTTCATTTTTCTCATCTGTCAGGCCTCGGAGGGAAATTGTCCATCCTGGAGAATAAGCAGGAGCAGGGCATGCAGCTTTCTACAGCCTGACTCACAATGACACCATCACAGTCAGCCAGATGCTCAAGAGTTGCAGGAAAAAAGTAAAACAAAGGCCCCTGGCTCATGCAAGAGTTGACAAGGTGTGCGTGTGGGAGGAGAATCTGCAGAGCCTAACAAGATAAAGTAATTTGAAAGCTTTTATCTGATTTGGGCAGGCAAAGGCAGCCAGCTGGGCCGTGGGGTGGTGGGCATTCTCCCACCAGGAGCCGCAGCACGCACACACTGCCAAAGCATCGCCCTCACCACAGGACACACAGGCCAGTGAACAGCCAGGAGGACTGAAAAATTCACAGCAAACTTCTCTGAGTGTTTCTATACTAACTGAAGAGTCTCCCTGAGCCCTATCAAAGAGAGAGACCTCAGCGGAAGTCAACGGGAGCACAACTTCACCAGCTGATTCAGGATGCCTCCACCAAACTCGTACCAACCCAAACCAGAAAAACAATGACAAGAAAAATACAGGGGTGACACCCTGGGCCCATGGGAGTCAAGTGCAAATCAGAGCCCCAGTCTCATCCCTGGGGTTCACAGTGGGAAATTCACCCCTGGGCTGAGAAGCAGTAGAAGGGCTGTGGTCTCCTCACACCTGATTTCAGGGACATAGGGGTGAACTTCCCTTTCTCCTGAAGACTGCCAAGCCAGGACTGCGAGGCCAGGAGCTGAACCCAGGGCTGGGCTTGGCAAGCCAGGAACAGCAGAGGCAGCACACATTTCTACAGCTCCAGTGAGCACCTTCAACAAACACAGGTCTGGGCCCCACGGCAGCACCACACAGCACAGCACCCCTCTCTGAGCAGCACCCCAAAGTGCGTGTCAGTCAGCAGAAGGGGAAACCAGACCAAACCATAAACCAGGTCAGTGAGGCAGGGAGGACAGGCAGGTGCATTCCCAGGTGCCACTGTTGTTAATGCCTGTGCAAGAGCTGGCATCATAAAGTCACCACCGGCAGCAGGTGTTGGCTGGAGTGAAGTCTACAGGAGCGGGCAAAGGGCAAGTGCTGGATCCAGGCAAAGCAGCTCCATCTTCACCTTTATCAGCATCTCGTTCTGGTGTGGACACGCCGTTTGCCTTCAAAATATATAAAGACAAAAGCTTTGTTTGGAAAGAAGTGATGGGGAGACACTTGACAAAGTTATTTTATGTTGCTTTTACATGCTCAGTGCCATTTTAAGAGCTTCCTAAAAATAATAATGAAGAGAATGTCTCTGCATCATTACTCCACAGTCTGTCAGCAGTCAGGGCCCATTAAACTTTATTAAAGAAAGAAAAGACATGGGAAAGAAATGGGGAAAGAAGGAGAAAGGAGTTTTACTGCTAGAACTGGTCCTCTGGTACATGCTTCCCTCAAAGGGCCAAGTCAGACAAAAAGCCAAGCCTCAGCTCTCAGAGGTTTCCCCACCAGGTGACAGCATCCATGTACCACCGAGCAGGTCCTCCACGTGACCTTCCTGCCCTCCGCGTGCCTGGGCTGTGGGCAGGAGCCACGGCAGAACGCGGCCCTTGCCTGGGGACGGGTGCAGGGCAATGATGCTCTGCTGCAGAGGGCACTCGGGCTCACGTCGACTAAACGAACCGGAGCTAATCACTGCAGCAGCCCCTGGTGAAACTCAGGGTCTGCCGGGACACGCTGGTTCCAGCGCATGGGGTGAAACGCAGGGCCGGCAATGCAGAGAGCTCTAAGGCAGCGGCGGGTCAACATCAGCGTCTTTCCCCCTTCTCTGAACTGAAAGGGGCACAAGTGACATTAACTCCTGGAGAAAGGACAGGGGATGTTTCCAGTCACTGCCGCTCAAGGCACAGGGAATCCTGCAAATTCCTCTCACCAGCTACCGGCCGATGTCCCAGTTGAAAGCTAGCCTCCTGAGCCATAAAACCTCTCAATGCGTTTACAAAGACTCCAAAATTCAGACTTTGAACTTCCATATTACTGACTTCCCATGCTCTTTCCTTTATGCTTTGTTTTGAAAGATTACATCAATTATTGCCCTCAGTGCTTTGTGCTAAATGCTGAATAGAAAGTTGGAAGCGTGAGGAGTAAACGTATTGCAAAGGGCAGAGAATAAGTCTAAGGACGTGGGGGCAGGAGGCCAGACAAGCTGTTTGATCAAAGACCAAAGGACAGACCTCTGCAATGTGAAAGAAGGCACAAAAATAGGAGTTTCAGCTTCAGCAGCAGACTTGTTTCCAGATATATTGAGTAAAAGAGGCAAGAGAATGAGTCTTTGTCATTCCTCTATTTTCAAGGAAAAAGTCTTCAATTTAAAACTCCATGAAGAGTTACAGAAATAGTAAAAGTAATTTATTTTTTAGGTACTCGAGCCTTTATTCACTTAACTTCAAGGTGGACTCAAAAGACCTGAAAATGTTTTGGTTCTACCACACGAGGAGGAAAATATTTTAATTCCTTAAAACATGGAAGGGGACATATGCTTCTTCTGGGGTTCATATTTACAAATGCATTGCATCTAGAATGCAAACCTTAAATCATTTCCTAATGCTGTCACTACCCGAAGACATGTTTTATTTATAAATACAGCAGGACCATTCGGTGCTCTGCAGCACCAATACGAGGCGGCAGAGACAGGTCAAAGCTTCTCAGCCATGAAGGCACAATTCAATTTTTTCACTTTGTGGAAGAGGGACAACTCATTCTCCTTGGCAGCAGGAAAACTCAATCCCGCAGCAGTGCCAGCAAGCTTTGACCAAAGCGGGGCAAACAGCGGTGCCCAAAAATTGATGAGGGAGCCAGTGCAGGAGGCAGAGGCTTGGAGGGGAGAGGTGTGGGTGAGGTTCTCTCCTCCACTTCTGACCCCCCCTTCCTTCCTCTCCTGTGCCCTCAGTGCAGGCAGAGGCCGAAGGCAGAAGGAGGAAGAGCAGGGGCTGTGAGCGCAGCATCCTCGTTTGGTTGCCCACCTATTCTGCCCCACTGCAACACCAGCCCTGGGAAACTACACTGTTTGGCTTTAGCTCGCACAGATGAGAGAACAAACAGTCTGAAAACATTTAAGCCACTTTCTCACCGAGCATGGGAAAACAAAAGTCACCTCCCCAAAGACCGGCATGAAGAAAGTCATTAAAGAAATTACTATCCCATTCGGAGCCTAATTACTATTAGGACAATTTTTTTTCCTACATGGAATGGAGCAGTTAGACCTGCTGAAGCAAAATGTTACCTCCTCATCGTCCCTGAGGGAGCAAAACAGACATCTGAGAAACAGAAGGGAAAGGGAAAAAAAAAAAAAAAAAAAAAGACATTAATGCTTTAACTTCAAAGATGGCCTGAGAATTTCCTGCCACGAAAATAATGCAGAATGGCTCTGCCTGTCTCACGTATTAACAGCTTGCATATTTATGAGTAAAAGTTGGTGCCTACCCCAGCCAGGGAGTCACTGAGCCATGGAGATAGCGACACCACCTCATTTCTAAATCCAGTCAACTCCCGAAAGACAGGGCATAAATCTGCCCAAATTAGGAGAGCTGGAAGCAGCATTTCCTGCCCATCTCTCTCAGCTCCAGACCCTTTTCTCAGCTCTGCTCAGCCTCTCCAGCAAGATGGCTACAAAGCAAGCAGCCAGCGGGAGGTATCCAGAAGCTGCAGCTTCAGCAGCCTGGGAGAAGGGCTCAGGTTGGACCTGCTGACCTCTGGAGGTCCTTCCAGCCGGTCTCACCCTGGGATTGCAAGCCACAACATTTCTTCTACCCCACCAGGCGCTGCCATCATTGCCTCAGCTCCCAGACTCAGCAACATCACTGTTTAACGTGGCTCTGTTTAACTGCCAGCTGCTGTACCGCTCTTTAAGTATTAATGATTTAGACAACACATTGGCAAACAAGCAGAGATGGGGAGACTGTCATCTGCACTCAGACGTATGCTACTCGTTCATTAGCTTATCTTGTGGCTGTCTCTCAAACCTCCTCTTTTAAGCACAAATTAGAGCCTTCCCCAGCCCATGCCAAGCTCACTCACCGTTTCCCACCAGCAAGCTGTTCAGGTGACCCACAGAATACTGAAAAGGATGGACCCCTTCCCCAGACAAAGTCCTCAGAAGACCCATTAACTGGGACCCATCAAAGTAGAACTTGCTACTGATCTGAGGAGAAATGCCTTTTGCTCTTAATTTACCCCCCGCAGCAGCCAGGTCCAAGCTCGAAGATGTTATCTCCGTTAAAAGCTCTCCATGGGCTAATGAAAACCACTGTAAGATATTGATGGTTTCTTTGTTTAATTCAGTTTAATATTCCCTTTCTTTAATAAAAATGACATAATTAACAAAAGTGAGGATTCTGCTCTTTTTTAACTGAGGCACCTCTTAACATATCAGCTGTACAGCCAGAACAAGGTGAGTCACCTGCCTAGCTGGGGGCAGGTAAGGGGAAAAAGAAAGATTGTGCTTCTTTCCTGAGTGCAAATTTCATTCTCTTTAGGATAAAACATTCTCCAGGAAAAACACTGCATGACCTTCCTCTTAACAGCTATCACGTCAGAGTGGGCACCTCCAGGAACTGGAGCTTCAGAAGAAGAAGAAACATCAGCCCCTCAGAAAACGACACTTTTGAAAGGGTTTGAAAGCAGGTGGTAAAAAAATAAAATAAAATTGGCAGCCTCTCAACTCACCACTCTCTTCTGCAACTTTGGCTCATGGGCTGAGGTTGCCTAAATCCCAATGCAGCTCTGACAATGAGTCATTTTATGACAAACCCCAGGCTTCATTATCTGCCTCACCAAACCCCAGCCGGAGCTGGAGCAACACGCTGGAAACCTAGAAACTCTTCTTAATAGCTCCTTGTTTTCCCTTGGCCGCACGACCATGCTGTTGTCTTGGCCTTCAGGCTTAAAGAGCAAAGGACTATGAGAGCAGCTGCATTTGCAGTACTGCTCCCTGATTCCCTGTTCTGGCTGTGGCCTGGGATTTAACGATGCTAAAATGTTCTGCAAAGTCACACTTGAGAGCGGAATTAGAGCAGAGGTGAGAAAAAGAAGTGAAAAGAAAGTCACCTGTAGAACAACACCTGAGGTGCTAATATGAAGCAAAAATTGCTCCCAACACAGTGTTACAAAGCTTCAGAGTCTTTCAGAAAAGCTATAGCAAAAATCTCCCTTTAATGCCCTCGGTCAGCACTGAGGATCAGCAGTTTAAATGAGAAAGGATCTTTGCCCCTTACTCTGCTTCAGAGCACAGGGACTGTCCCACAGGCAGGCAGATGCAGCAAAGAGTTTTGCCAGACTTGACATACGGCACCCATCACCTCCACCCCTCTTTAAAGAGATGAAACAGCAGGAGGGGCCTCTGCTTTTTGGCAAGCAGTGGCATCCAGAGGGACCCATCCTGAAAAGCCCCTCCCGGACAGACAAAGCTCTAATCTAAATAAAGGAGGGGAGAGGCACTGCCGCTTGCCCTCAGGCTCCCACCATTTGCACGCCTCAGCCCTCCAGCATCCCAGAGCACATGAACCCCTCTGCAGAGCGGGATACTTCCTAAGGGACTGACGACAGGGCTGGTTTTGCACTTCTCTCTATTTTCTGCTCTTGCCAGGCTGCTGGCCTGGGAGCATTCAAGGATTGCAGCCTCCTGCATGTCTGATCTGCTCAAACCACCTGCTACGGCGCTGCACAGAACACGAGGCGACGCAAGTCGTATCGCTGCATAATGCTGATTGCTAAATTCATACGTAATGGGTCGTGATTGCCAATAGTTCGCTGCACGGATCACATCGTGGCAGTGTCTCTCCAGCTGGGCACGTTAAATGCTCTCAGAGTAAACGAACGCCAATGATGCTCACCGCTGCTGCTCACTCGCTGCGTGGAGGCAAGGCCACATCCCAAGCACATCGGAGGGAAAACAAAGTCACTCTCCCTCTCTCCTCCACACCCTGAAGTGCCAAAGATGACCCGCACTGTGGGACAGAGCATACAGCTGTGGGAAACGCAACACAGCGTATCATGTGCATCTCATAACGCGCTCGGCTTCCAGCTTCACCTCCTTACAGAGACTATTTTAACTGGGCTCATGCAATTACTATAGTTTTCATTTTTCTGAATCTATGTCCACACCACCTGTCATTTTTAGCTCTCCCCTGCCTAGCAAGGAGAGATCACACTGGAAAGCATTGACCCCTTGTGCCAAGCTTTGCATATGAGTTTTTTTAGCAGGAAAAAGGCATTTTCTGCCGGTGAGAGATTGTTTGCACTGTTGTGGCCAGAGAGCAGTTAGTTCAAACAGGTGGCAGGAAAGCTCCAAAGTGCAAAGCGCTGTACAAACACACCGTCCAGGTGTGCATCCGTCCAGACTTCAGCGCGGCCATGTAGCACCAGCAGAAAAAGCACCCAAGGGGTCACACCCACTATCCACCACCACCCGCTTCAATCCCACAGAACAACCTGCTGCTCCGCTCCGGTGGGCTGCAGAGCCAACACGCAACGGGAATCGGCCGTCTCTAACGTCACAGTCAACGGGGGGCTTAAAATAAACCCAGTCTGGGGCAGCACTATAATCCAGAAAGAATATGGACAGAGCAGAAGTATCACTCATCTGATTTGCTTTGCAAAAACTAAAATTAAAGAAAACTGAAAATCTCTGAAACTTGGGGAGGGAGGGAAGAGCAGAGAAACAATTTTATGCCGGCTATTTCTAGCGGGAAGCGTGGGGAGGGGGACTATGACTCTATGTTGCACTAAAGGATAAACCTGCTCTCTCTAATCCAATTTACGCCTCAGCATGCACAGCACAAAACAGGCTCAGGAACAAAAGGAGTGGCAGTTCACAGGGTGGCAGGAACGCTCTGGAGGGAGCAGCGCTAAACAGTAACTTAAGGGGTTATTGAATAGATTAGCGGGAACCGCAGAGAGAACACATTTGCATCTCTTTCAGCTGCTCCAGATCAGATGTGATAGCAGCCTCTGCTCTCACAGTCACTTAATTGTTCCAAGGTTGTTGAGGGGGAAAAAAAGTGTCTTTTTTTTTTTGCACTGCGGAGTTCTGGGAAGAGCCACACTTCGCTTTAAGAGCCATCTAACATTAGGAGAATTTTTATTCAGTCTCACAAAGCTGCTGGACTTCTGCTTTCCTTCAGTAAAAGCTCAGTCTGGGCTGCTGCCTCTGCAGGGCAGACACAAGCTCTGGGCCTTTGCAGGGGGACAGACCCAGGCTACGGCTGCTCTCGGAGGTGGGTGTAGGCAGCTCCCACCCCAGACGATTACTCATGTTGCAGAATAGATTCTGCATGCGGGGAAGAGGGAAGGAGTGAGCTGTAATGCTGTGACAGCATCTGCCATGAGAAAAGCAGCAGGGAAAGGTGATCCCAGGCTGCAGCTTTGCCAGGTGTGCCTCTGAGAAAGCTGTGCTTCGAGAGAAGTCGGCCCCAAAAGCTCGCATCTGCCCAGAGAGGAGGTTCAGCTTACCAGGGGCTCTGCTGCCAATGTCACTGTCACGCCCATCTGCCGGCTGGTCACTCTGGCAGCTCTCTGTGGCACTGAGGGCAGCCCCCTGCTCGCTGCCCAGGCTGCTTCGGTCCCCCGAGAGGGCAGGGGAGTGGGTGCTGCCCAGCGCCCTGCCTGTGGCCTGGCTGGGTTCCACGATGGGTGCTGCAGGGACACAACAGAGAGATGCTGCTGTGAGAAGGAGAAATGGGTGCAGATGCCAGGCCAGGTCCTATGACAGCAGCAGCCTCCCCACTCCCAGCCAAGCACCCTCAGGAGCGCGGTCAAAACCCAGTTTCTGTGCTCCACTCCTAAAATAGCTCCAGGAATTCAAGTGCTATAAAGCCAGGAGCGAGGAGCTGGCCAGAGACATGATGCCAGGCGGCTGGGAGCAGCTCCCAGCTACAAGGGCAGACCCTGAAAGGCTGCAGGCAACAGAGCAACCCACCCCCAGTTTGACACGTTGATACTAATCCAGTGAGAAAGGACCAGATCCTCACCTGGCACAGCTAGAGTGGGCTGCACCAGCGCAGGGCAGGCAAGTGGCTGAGCCAAAATCCACAGGAGCAAGAGCCAAACATTCAAGCACTTTACACTTCCCACCCTCCAGCCACAAGGAACAGCGATTCCTCACCCAGTCCTGCTCGGTGCTTTCTGCCTTGCGAGCCTTTTGACCCTGCAGGTGAGGGCTTGTCATCCATGCTGGAGGAACTGAACTCCGAGTCACTCTCACTGTCACTAGAAACCACTGCAGAAAAGATCGGGGAGAGGAGAGAGACAGTTATTCACAATGTTCATAACACTTTCCAAAGAGGGTGCCAGATGGATCCAAATAAAACATAACAAATGCTGACTTGCTGATCACATTCTCCCTCTCCAAAAGGAGCCCTACCTGCAGTTCCCCCACAGCTGTTCACTCTTCCTCTAAAACATGATGTGTTTTTACTTTTTACAGATGATTTATAACTCAGCCGCACACACTTCGGTGGTGCCAGCACCTGAAGCAGATGGGCGCACCACCAGTGCTTCTCTCCCAAACCTGACCTGGACCACACCACTCCTGCTGCAAAGCCAAGAGCCCTGTGGCATGGCTGGTCTGGAAGCTGGGCTCTGCCCCTGCTGACCCCCGTGTCGGCACACCAGCAAGCCCCCTCCTCCTCCTGGTTGCTGTCTCCCACACAGGAGCAACGCAGTAAAGGCTGGGCTGGGTACAAGGCTGGTTCCGGCTCAGCTGCAGGTGGAGGGGTCCCGACTCCACCATAAGAGCACCCACACCTGAGTAATGCGGGGAGAGGGGCTGGCCTCCTCCAAGCCACGTTTTGAGCAGAGCAGGACCTCTGTAGAGGCTCTGGGATCTATGAGGAAAACAGCAGATAAATACTGGGCATGTCAAATAAAAAACCCTGCAGCGATTACATGAAGAGCCAGCCTTGTTAGCTCATCATCCATTCCACAGACACCCAACCCTATCAGCACACCCCCCAGAACTATATTACTCCTACGCCCCCAAGGCTTAGAAGGCAAGGGTTGCTCCTCTTCCTTAAGGAGACTGTTGCCCCCTTTCAAAGCTGCTTTTTTTTCTTCTTTTTTTCCCCCTCTGAATTCTGGCCCTAATCCTGCTGCTTTCCACCCTCCATAGTTTCCACAAGAGCTGAAGTAGCCTCATTTTGCCAGACAAAACTCCCCAAATTGGCAGGTTGTTTCCACTTTTCCATGCAATTATGCAAGTACTTCTGCTTATACTGGTGTAGAAGATAACTCGACTGCCAGCTGCTCTGGGTAAAATGAGAAAGGTGTTTTTCCGACCCCTGGGTTTTTGTAATGGCCTGATCTCAGAACAGAAATGATGGGGCTGAGGAAGAAGGTAACAGGAAAACAGCTGTCTTTTATTTGAGGGGTTGCACCTACAGCATTTCTCCATCTGACCAAGGCAGACACCAGCTCTCCTGGCAGCTCAGAAGCCATTTCAAACAGCGGGTCACAACTCCTGGTGGAAAGTACCATATTGGCTCATGTGGGTTATAGAGTAAGCAACACTGCAACCTACAGCCTCGACTGCAGAAAAAAGAAACCCCAACTATTTCTTTATATTTATCAGTATGTATTTATAAGCTCACATTCATATGAGAAATGAGCTCCTCGTTCTGCTACTGAACAAACCACTTTGCCCCCACACTGTTACTCGTAGTTCCCAGCCTCATGGTGCTGCTGGGCGCAGGAGGGACATGGGTGCAATGGCACAAGGTGACAACTGTGGGGTAGCAAAGAGAGCCGTCAGTTCAGCTCTCTGCATCAGCGCTAAAATTCACTACATGTGGTTTGCAGAGCTACAAACCCTTCAACACTGCCCAGGGCATGAGGACAGGCATCCCTCCCCTTGTGGCCACAGCTGCTGCCTGTCAAACATTTCAGCCAAGGAACTCTGCAGATGATCCTGTATTCAGGCAGCGATCTGTACTACACAAAATATTTTATTAAAAAAGCCCTTAATACCTAAAATAGCGCTTTTCTGGAGTTAACATCTCTGAGGATATTAAAGCTGGCTGCCAGTGTTATTGCAAAACGTTATCGAAGCTCCCCATGCACGCTGTGCTGCTGGGAAGCGCTGGGCAGAGGGCAGGCTGCCAGGCCCCCTCCTCGCTGCCCGCACAGCCTGCGCCCACAGCCTTCCCCTCCTGGCACCATCAGAGACCGGACTTCTCAGCTGCAGGGAAAGGCGCTGCAGAGCTGAGCCAGGCAGAGCGCAAAGCCCCATTACAAGCAGGGTGGCTGCTCTTCTGGCTAAGAGGTCTCAAAGCAAAGGTTTGGCTTTGGGCTTTGCTGTCTTAAAGACAGCTTCGCTACTTCCCCAAAGCTCCCTGGGAGAGGTGGGGGACCATATATAAATGCTGTTAATAACAACCCATACATACCAGGCTCTTTGCTACAAAATCCAAATCTCAGCTGTGAGAATCATTCTGACCATCCCATTGCCCAATTCCCTCAGCAAATGCACTCCTGTCCCACTTGATCATCATCCTTTTTTGGCCTCCTGGATTCATAAAATCCATCGCTTGAGAACAGCTCCTTCCTCCATGAATCCTTTAAAAATGCTGGAAGGCAGGATTTATTTGGAGAAGGCCCCAGTGAATCAGTGGAGGTGACTTTAGCTGCCTTCCCTTCTGCCATTCAGCAGTTCAGAGAGGACCAGCACAAGAGGAGGAAAATATTAATGACACAAAGGCACTCGCACCACAGGAGCAGCCCTGTCTGCTCTCATTTCCTCTGCTGCCAATAAAAGTGTATTTTACCAATGGCACCAATGTTTCCCTTTAAGGTAATTTTTCTCCCAAAGCTCCCAGACCTTCTGCTGGCACTTTCCAGAGCCCAGAAGTCGTAAATCTGGTGTTCCAGCAGTTGCTGATATATCAATAAGAGTCGTTGGACGGCTGTACTTTCAGAGAACGTAACAGATTTATCCCTCTCCATCTCCAGCTGACTGAAAAAAAGCTCATAAAAAAAAATATGCTGAGATAAAACTTGCAAGAAAAGCAGTATTCCCACAAGGAATGGGTCATTCATCGAGGGCCTGAATGGCCACAGCTGCTGCCAGAGCCCACGCTCCCTCCAACATGTGGTTCAGCCTCCGAGCCAGACGTACGAGAGCCCCGTGGCACAGAGAAGCCGTGGGGAATGGTGGAGGGCTGCCAGGCTCCACTTAACCCCAGCAGCAGAGGATATGGCGACACTGTGCTGAGGCCAAGGGGAAAGGAGCACTTGGCTGGGGTTGAGTTCTAATATTAAACGCATGCATCTGGCACGGGCACACCCGCGATGGGAAGAGTCAGCCACGCTCCCTCCCACTGCCCACTGCAGGGCACAGCTCAGTCCCTGCACACACAAAGCCTGGCACTTCTTGCAGCTGCCAAAAACACAGGAAAAAACCCCCCAGGGGCACGCACAGGCAGCCTGCAGCACCCAGCAGCTGCACACGCCCAGCGCAGCCAAGATGTCCTTGAGCACAGAGCTCCCCTGCAGCACCCGTATCATCAGCCTTGGCAAATAGGACCTCTGGGGAGTGGGGAGGCCGACAGCTCCTGGTCACTGCGGGTGGGAGGGTCGGAGATGAAGAGCTTTATTACAACCACAGCATCTCACCAGGTGCAGCTCCCAGGCTAGATCACACTCAGCACTGCTCCCAGTTGCACGGCCATCTCCAAGCAGGAGGAAGGGACCAGACCCAACAGCTCTCCTTTTCAGAAGCAGCACATGTACAGCTTGGGCACTGCTCAAACTTACAGAGAAGTTGGACGACCCCTCAGTGGCCTGCAATGCGCTTGACCTGCCCCAGCACGCTCCTCTCTGCTCCATCACTCAGGGATTTGGCCTCCAGCACACAGACACCAGATGAACCCACTGCATCCCCTTGCCCAGCCGTTGCTCCTGTGCCTCCGACAGCACCGAGCCCAGCATGTCGCATTGCTTGGCAACGGGACCGGAGCACATTGCAACGGGAGAAACCACCGGAGACCAAGCAGAGCAGCAGGCAGCCCTCATGCCAAACAGTGCAATAGCTCAGGGATCATACTTCTTTTTTCCACCCAGATGCTTTACATTTTTTTCTGCAGAACTCAGAGTTCAGAGGAAGGAAAGCCCTGCTGCTTATTGCTCCCCACCCCCTGACAGCCCCGTCCCACCTGACCCGGTGCAGAAACCCACCCACATTCCACCACATGGAGCAGAGCTGCTCCCCTGCACAAGAAATATTACTGCTATTCTCCCCATGACAATACATTTGTGCCTTAACTAATAGCAGGGTTCCCATGGCAACTGCTTGTTTATTACAGAAAAACTAAAGGCAACGGCAAATCCCAGTGTCAGCGAGCACGAGAGAAATAATGGGTGTGTAAAAATAAAACTTCTTCCTGGTGGGTTTGGCTTTTCTTGCCAGAGGCACGTTCCTGCGGTCCCTCGGTCCTGCTGCCTTCCCACCCTCCTGCAGCAGGCACAGCCAGAGCAGCTGGTACCCAGGGCCTGGCACTGATCTCCTCCTTTTGGGGGGAAAAAGGGACACTTGAGGTTTGCCCCATCCCTGCTGAAAGGCAGCACCTGGCATGGAGGATGCTGAAAGGACGACCGTGGCTCCTCTCACCCAGGCTCTCCAGGGGCTGTGTGGGACGGGGCTGTGCAGGACGTGGCTGTGCCTGTGCTGGTCCCACCTGACTTGAATCCCTTTAATGGCTGCGAGACAGCTCCTTCCGCGCCTCAGGAGGCAAGTGGAGGGGTTAGGCACGTCTGGCCAAGAAAATGGAAACCCCACCAAGAGCAGCCTGTCAGAGTCAGGCACATTAAATGCCAGAGCTCATTCTCTAGAACATCCTGCCAAACAAGCAACGGGGCTTTACCCAGTGCCGAAAGGATGCGTTCAGATTGGGGCGTACAAGGTGTGAGCTGACAAAAGCTATCAGCCAGGCAGAGGTAAGGCAGGCTGCCTTGTCAGCCACAGCCTCGTAAAGCTCAGTCCAGGCCCAGTTGCAGATTCACGTCAGCAATATCACAGCTACATCATCTCCACGGGGAAAGGCGGCTGCCCTGCACATTGCAGAGGTTCCGGATGACAAACTGCAGAAGTCCCAGCACTGGCAGGTGAAAAAGAGTTAAACGGAGGGGCGAGGTGTACAAGCTCCCAGCTTCAGAGATGAATTACAGCCCGCAGTGCCCACTGAAAGCTGTCCAGAGGACAGGCAGCCTAACAGAGAAGGGCAACAAGGAAAGAAAGCACCAGAAAATAAAACCATAAATTAATATTATCCAACCCGTGAAACAGCAACCAGGCAAAAATCAGAGCACAGGGAGAAAAGGCAGCTCTCCACCCACATCAACACTTACCAACGGCCACTTTGCTGTCCTCCACCTGCTCCTTTGCTGCTCCTGCCAGTATTTTGGGGGAGTCCTTCCCACAAAACAAAACTCAACTAAAAAGGCAAACTAAAAAGCAAGCCAGGTTTGGGCTCAACATCTTTGACTCATGTTTTCTGTATCGTGTGAACAGAAAATACCTCATCAATCAGTTCATTTGCTAAGGCAACTCCTTCCAAGCGTCTCCTGGAGGAAAGCGCAACCATCTATTGTTGATCTAATTTGTCTTTAATTACAAAAGTTACAGTAGAGCTGGGAGTGCTTTCCTAGCTGGGGCCTGAAGAGAAGGTTTGTAAACCCAACTCTCCTGAGTCCTCTTTATTAAAAGGTTATTTCCCCCTGCACTACTGGTAAGATTTAACTTGATGTGGAACAGTGTATGCTGCTGGTACGCTGAAGAGGTCTTCTCCAACTGAGGGGATCTAATAGCAAAAGACAGAAGGAGAGAGAGGCCAGACAGTTCTGCTAATCCACACCAGAAAGAAACGAAGAGAAATCAAAGCAGACTGGCAACAGCTTTAATTCTGCAGCATCCATCCGCTGCTGTGCTAATGACCCTGAGTGCTCAGCTCCTCAAAGCCAAGCTGCTGTTCCCCCCCCAGCTGGCTCTAGGCACAGCACTGGAGTGGGCGTACGAGCAACGACAGGGTGGGCAGATGGAAGAGGGGGGGGGAGAAAAAGCCCTACAAGGCAGCGCTGTGAATGGGATCTGATGCGGCAGCGATCCAAGATGCCACATGTGATACAACGGTCTACTTCAATCAAGGTCTACCTCAAAGAACAGGGATGTGAGTGCTGAAGCTAATAAATCTTCAGGCTTGTCAGTGTTCTGGCCCCAGCCCTGCACAGGGCTAAGTTAATCACCAGCTTCTTCGGAGACACATTTAAAGAACAACTCAGCTCTGAGCTCTCCGTGCTGCAAACCTCAGCTCCCTCTCCAAGGCCTGGGGAGGGAGCTTCACCCTTTGCCAGTCCCACCGGCTCAGGGGGTTCAGGCACAAAACGACACAGCCAGCAGCAGCTTGTTCCTGCCCACTGACTGTAGAAGAGTATCTCTGCCCACTTGCTCCAGGCCCTGGGAAGACCCCAGAGAGATGCTGGGGGGGTCATTTCTAACCCAGCTCAAAGCAGCTTGAGGTATCTGCCCCATGGTGCTCTGTGGAACAGCAGAAGCAAGGAGCAAGCAGCCCCAAGGAGGGAGGGAATGAGACCAGCCTTTTGCCAGCCTTGGCTGTACAGCCATGTCCATCAAAGGCATCATCCTACCTACTTCAG